ATGGTTTATAATTTATGGTTTTTTAAATTCCACTGTTCTTGATAAATTTGTCTGAAAATATGAATTTAATTAATATGATTTTAGCTTTCTTATCGTTCATAATAATTTTTATAAACTTCCTTTATGCTATGTTTATTCCATTTTTATTATTTTAATTTAATAAATATACATTGTTGTAGATTACCTCTAAAATAAGCTTTGTTAAGTTCTTATAATGCCAAATTTTTAATCGAACTGCTAGAAAAGTTCTGGCGAATTTCAATATTATAGATATTTATAAATTATAATATAATATTTACAAATATACAAAACAAATTAATGAAATAAGCAAAATTTATGGGTTTTTTTCAAATTGTAACATGGCACTACATATTAATGATTGAAGACTTATCGACTTCATTAGAGTAGAATGCATATAAGATTGTGCAAAAACAAGTCAGAATTCCGAAATTGGCATCTCCAAATTTTTTTGCATTATCAAATTTTTTGCATAATTTTGTCGAATTTCAATTAATATTAATAAAAATTAAAGTAATATTAAAGTAATATTAATATTAAAAATTAAGTAAATTAAAGTAAAGATTTAAAATAAAAGTATTTTTCATAAAAATTTATTTAAACATTTAGTCAATTAAACCTTTTAACGATATTTAAATTAGAAATAAATTAATGGAAGAGGAATTTAAAAATTTTATAAACGAATCTTCAATACATTCCTACCAATTCAAAGATTTTCATTCACCTTAAAATTAATTTTACATTAAAACAATAACTTAATTTATGCAAATAAACAAAGTAAAAAATGATTTTTTGCACTCCTTTTTCTGTTTATCTGAAAGGTTTTATCAAAATCTTTAGGATTTTTCTGGTTACAAGCTTTTTCTTTTCTAAGAGCGCTCATTATTTCTAATTAGCCGCCAGGGAGTTGATTAGAAGTATTGGTGGTGCACAAGTGGGTCACCAGTACCTTCTGAGTTTTTGAAAGATTTACTTTTTCCCAGCGAAGTAAAACGTTCGAAAATTATTTAATTTAATTTCATTTAAAATTTCAAACTGATTAAAATGTAAATTTATTATTTTACACTTTAATTCCACTTTTATGTGAAATTTTTATTTTTATTTTTTTGAATTTTTATACAAATCACTTTTTGCTTAAAAACATATAAAACCTGTAAATAAAATAATTTCGCAAAAAAGAACACTAGCAGTTGATAAGAAAACTGAAAATTGCCATAATTAATTAGATGAACGAACAGCCATAGGCTTAGATAATAAGCACTGCGCGATTTTGCTTCGAATGCGTCTGAAAATATAACTAAATAATTTCATGGTTATCAACAAGTTATCAGGACTTTACTAGCAAGAATTTCAAATTTTCTTAACTTTTTCGCATTTTGTTTCACAATAGTACATTCCCTCTGGTATAGTTGGCTTCATTAGCTTTTAATTATAAGCTTACATCTGTTAAAGGACAGAAATGGTGCCAGTGCTCTTTCAGTCAAATTCAATCTGTTTTCAGTCAAAATAAAAGAACCTCAATCGTACTTTTTTCCCAAATTATTTTTAGAATAAAAATAATTCATTTATTTACTCTTATTTTATTGTATAGACGAAAACAGTTGGGAATAATGCGAAATTATTACGTAGAAGTGAATACTAGTAAAATTGCATTGACGCCAGGGAATTGCATCCAAAGGAAAGAAATTAGCAAATAGGGCCATCGAATACCGCGAAATAATGTTGTCGAATAACGAGATATGAAAGTTATTGATGACGAATAAAAGAATAAAACGCTCATTTGTATAAGTAATTTTATTTCTGCTTTGAACGATAATTCAGTGACTTCGAATATTAGCTTCAAAAAATTATATGTAAATTCTAGAAAAATTTCTTTTGAACTCTTTTTATTGGACCATTAAGTTTATTAACCTTAAATATGAGACAAAAAATGATGATAACATGATTGATAAACGTTAAGATGATTAGTACAGCATTCGTGCCAAATGAAATTTCATTGAACATATAATTTACTATATCATCATCCATTGCCCATGAATGGAAATGTATTATATATCGCCCTGTGAACCATGGAGTAATCATCATTACAAAAATTGAAAAGCCAAACATTGTTCCCAAAAGCATGAGTATCTGAAGATATGAATAACATTGATATCTCAGCTAAGAACAATTCTTTCCAGCATTCCTCTTATCTTTATTCAGTTGCTCCAATTATCGTATTATTAAATCCAGTTCTTTCTCGACTTGCACTCGAATTGCCAACAATGGCCCTATGAAGCATATTAGGCTAGATAAGGCTTTTTAAGCCAGGCAAGGCACTCACTATCCGTTAGATGTATTATCGTATGAATAAATTCACCTCTATTCTTTAAAACTGTTCTAATAATTGCAATTAGGAAATAATCAAACACAATATGGTGAGAACTAACATGGCAATACAGTTTGCTGGTTTCATTTAAAATAATTGTCGCAGCTCGATTTATTGATAAAATTAGCAACAGAGCAATTATCGATTCCCATGAGCCATACAGTATTGATGCCATAAGCTTAAATTTTTCTACTTTTTCAAATATACCAATGAAAAATATTGCTTATTTTAAAATAACAGTAATTACATTCATTATACGTTATTAAGGCTGTCATTAAAGTTGCTTCTCCAATTTATTTTCTGGATAATCATTATTTAGGTGGAGTATCAGTTTTCTTCTTGCAATAATCCCTACAAAAAAATATTTTTGTCGAGCTACCTGCATAAATATTTCTATGGTTTTATGAGAAATTTTAAAAAAGCTATGAGCAGCTAATTATCCATAAATCCTCAAAGGACCTTCGAGCTTAATTTACCTCCATATCGATCTTTACTTCCAATCTCTAATTTTATACAAAAAATGAAATTCCTTAGAATTTTTTTCAGCAAAATGAGCGAATATAACCTTATTTAAAAAGCTGTTAGCTGAGTAATTAAGCAAAGTCAAGAGACCACTAAAGAAATGTGGAATCAGAAAAAGACAATCGTATATGTTGAGCAGAAACATTATTTGATAAATAGCATTAGTCTTTAAATCCTTATCATTATAGATTATCTAAAATTACGCAAAATTAGTTCAAATTAAAAATATTTTGCGAAAAAAAAGACTTCAGTTGAAAGTGAACACAACTTTCATGAGAATTTTTCTGCGTCTCATTTTTGATTTGACTGTCTTCACTGATATGGGAATGAAAGCCTTTCGACAAGGTTTATCAGTGAGATGAAAAAACTTAGTTTAAAGCATAATTCTTAAATTTTGAGAAAATTTTAGACAAAAAAGCTTTCAGTTGCTACATTAAAAGTCCACAAATAATCATCAATTTATCGAATTTATTATTTATTCTTCCTTTCAGCTGGTTATAAATTGTATTCATATAAAAACACTCCGCTGAGAAATTTTGCGGGAGCAAACTTCGACTTTCTCTCTTTAAGACTTTTTAAACATTAATTAGTGATATTTTTCTTTCATTTGACATTTTAAATCATTTTTAAAAATTTTATTGAAATTAATTTGTCATATATTGTCTGATTTAAAATTAAACCATGAAAGAGCCACAAAAACTGATTGCTATTTGCGTCGTAGCAAACACTATTGTATTAATGCAAATTAGCAGCTTATTGTGCAGTTCAAATTAATAGATTTCTTTTCATATTTTGTAATAATCCTTTTTTGAAAATTATTAATTAATAATATAATTAGTAAAAAATTTTTTAAATTAAATTGACTTGAATATTAAAATCTAATTTTATTAAAATTTTAAAATATTAAAATTTTCAATTAATCAAATTGAAAAATAGAAGATTAAAAGAAAATCTGATGTTTGCTTGTAAAATATTTAGCAATATTAATCTTGACTGTAGCAAATTATGCCTTCGAGACGACTATCACTAAATTGAGCCAAAATTTCTTAGTAAAAAAATTCGCAGAATCATTTGTTAGAATGAAGAATGTGGCTGCAACACCTTATACATCCAATTTTAAGAAGGAATTAAAGTCTAAATGAAGATTTGTTATTTTGAAATGTTGCCGATATCTCTCCCCTTTTTATGCACTTTTACCTGTACCTTTTTTTGTTTTTTGCTGCAATTATAAGCAATTATGAGTTCTATTTAGTTGTTTAAATTAATCTAAGCCTCGATAAAAAATATTTGATATCAAGAACTATTTCATGCTATTTAAAATAATTGTATGAGAGAAAAGGCTTACACAGTTAATAATTGCTGAAGCGATAAAATATGAAATGGAGCAAACGATAAAAATTAATCCGATTAAAACATTGTCCGTTTTTGTGGCCATCTTTTCCTATAAAAATAATTCGTAAATCAACTGAAATATCGAAAAAAATTTTGAAACTTGAATACCGTATATATAATTCTTCTTCTTCTTCTAATAGCTCTCACATTACTGGTTAGGCTGGCCCGCTGGCTGCAAGGGTAACTCTCCGTCCCAAACTGCTCCGTCCGACGCCATCTTTAGTAATAGCCATTCCTTTTTCTATCGTTTAAGTCCATATATCGCTGGTTACCTATACGTTCAAAATCTTTCCTGATTGGATCAGTCCAGCTCTTGATTGACCCTCCTCGCTTTTGATACCAACCATCACAGGGTTCGGCAAATAGCGAAATATGATATCAATTCCTGTGGTGGATGACATACTCTAACCAGAGAAGGCGACGCTGGTAAGAGTATGTTCATTACATTACATAACATTTCATAACAGGTGGTATTTGAACGAAGATGAAAAAATAATCATGTGCGATTTTTTCCCCTCGACGGATTCTTTTTAGACATAAATGTATCGTAAATATGAGTGGTCAAAGGCTGACAGCTTCTTAATATTTTCCACTCTCATTAGCCATGTTTCGCAGCAAGAATTGCAAGTGCATAAAGGTACATAAATGTTCGTTTCATTAAATGAATACTTAACATATTTATCGGAATATTTTTAAAAATAAATTATCCAATCAATATAAATATTTTAGCAAAAAATAAAAATGGACGATAGGAAAATTGAGAAATAAATTTTAGGAAATAAATTTTCGTGTTCACTATGATTTCATCATGGTTCCATAGAGGTTTCATTAACTGGAAAAAATATATTTCTAGCCGTTGCCCGGATTATAATTTCATCCTTTGCCTGGCCGTTTAGGATTAGAGTGGACCCAAGGTTGGGCACTTTCTCAACGGCAATGTATTGATATCCTATTAATATTAATATTAATATCCCATATTAATATTAATATCCCATATCGTTTCATTGACCTTTTCTCGAATTATAGTTGCTTTGTGAAGAAGGCGAAACAGTTTCCTATTATCCCTTACCCGAGTTGCCATCTCCATTCACAAGGTTATATCGTTCCAGTAGCGATTTTTGTTCCGACGTGCTGCTGTCGTTTTAATTTTTCGAAACAATAGTCAGGATCTCCTGACATTCAGGCGTTGGCAGCTTTTTCACTCGGACACTTGCTTCCGATACACTTCCTACTAGTATAACCTAGTGTGAAAATGGCTGACTTTTATAGGCATGTCTTTTTGTTGGGATCAGTATTCATTCGCCTTTCTAGAGATATCACTAACGTTCATTTCACTAGTGTTTTAATAATTCGGTTTGAAATGCGCTTATTGTTCCCAGATCTTTTAATTTGAGATAGTTGAAAGGTCTTGGGAAATTATTTCCTGCGATTTGCAAATAAAACTGACGTTTCATCGAATCTTGGCTTGAACCATAAAATGATCATCCATGGCAGTTTTTAGCAACCCGACTATCAAGTATAGAACTCTTCCAGCTGTGACTGACCAATGTATAGTTAGTTTTATAGTCAATTTGCTTGGAATATTGGTTGTCCGGAGAGTTTAGCGTAATTAGATCCCGATGCTCTGATGCCGAAAGCTTATATCAGTAGCAAATAGTTCATGCTCTTCAGGAAAGCGAAGAAAGCATTCTCCATTGGCGCATTGGACTGGCGCCATATTTGCCAAATATCGAATTCATGTGGTATCGGCATTATGACCTAGGCTCTCATTCCAGTCTCTCTCGATTATGACCATGCCATATAGAGACTTTCGGTAGAGACTTCGTTAGCAGTTGAAGTTCCGCATAGAACTTATCTCTAACACAATTATCTGGCAAAATTGGAGCATATATACTGATAAATGAAATATTGCAGAACTTTCCCTTGAAATGCCCATAGACAATATGGCCATTTACTATCTTCCATTCAATCAGAGAAGATTGAGGCTTTTCAGACAAGATAATCGCTACGCCATTTCGTCCCGAATTATCCAGGAGAACACAACGATATAACCAATATCTTTATTGACATCATGAGAGGTTTGTCCCAAAGAGAGAGAATAGAGATAATCAAATTCAAAAAAAGAAGAGAAATTTAACGATAATTTTAAAAAATAAAAAAAATTTATCTGATTTGTGGATGATCATGTACAATATAATATAATTAATAAGTTCTTTGCCTTATTACGAACAATAGGAAATAACAATATTTGAAATAATAAAAATAAAAGGAAAAAACAAATAAAAGCAAATAAATAAGCGAGAAGATAAATAAATAATACATAAATTAATAAATTAATAAATAAGCAATAAATAAAAAACACAGATAAATAAATAAAGATAAATAAATAAATAATAAGAAAATACAAAAAATAAATTTCATTTAGTAGAAAATGAAAGTAAATTTGCAAATAATAGAAATACATTTAAAATTTACTATCACTATTATCACAGACACTGTTCGGATTTTTTTTCCAATAGCAATTTGGACAAATGACAAATTTGGCAAAAAACGGAGAAAGCAAAATAGATGGAAATATGAAAATACAAATTTCTTGATGTACTATTCGAAAATTTTAAATTTAAAAATTTAACTTTTTTGAAATTTTTTCTAGTAGTAACCACCATTTCCTAATGATTTGGCTAATTATAAAGGTGGTTAAGATCAAACGCCAAAGAGTCATTTGAGATTTGGGATCATCAGTTACTTTCTGAATTTTATTTTTAACGGCAGCTTTCTCGCTGCAAAAGAATTTTTTGACGCCTATGCCTATTCTTTATTTCACTGATAACTATTTATCATTATTATTATATTTTAATATATTACAAAATATAAATATTATTACTAGTATTAATAGAGTTATGTTTTAAAAGAATCTCATTGTTTCAAGAAGGATGAAGGAATGTAATAAATAGAAATCGTCGAAATATGCCTATAGCCGATATTAGAAAAGTATTTAAACATTTTTATGATAACAACAATTAGCGAATTCAATAAAAACAAATATATCCATTTAATTAACGCCTTTTATTTCCTATTTAACTGAATCAAATAAAATTCATTTCATTCTTTTTTTGCCAGTAAAACATCATTTAATAAAAAAATAAATCGAATAATAATTAAAATGTGGAAAATTTTATTTCATATAAAAATTTTTAGAAAAAAAAACAAATAAAAGAAAAGAAAAATTGGAAAAGAAAAATTTTCATCATTTTCCATTTT